AAAAAGTATTCAAATCAATGTTTTTTAATAAGCAATGTGTATAAAATTTGCACCTGCTCAAAAACACCAAAAACATTACCTTTTCACGATTCCAACCAAACAAAGGGATTCCACCCCTAATTCTCTCATTGCACGGGGCAGTGTAACAGCACACGAAGCCCAGGATATCCAGGATTCAGGTTTTTATCCTAATGGACCTTCTGCCTCTGCCTCTCTCACGCTCGCGCTCTGTCGCTCACTCTCGCTCCTCTCTCTCTCTCTCTCTCAGAAATATTATATAGATTGGATATAAACTGTGATATCACACGTGGCTCTATGCAATCCTATGTTGTATATACAGCATGCGTTTCTATCGCCGTGTCGAGCAGAGACTGTAAAAGCTGCAAATGCTCACAAGCAAACAGCAAAAGGTTTACCAAAATACTCTTTGTAAAATCCTTACAACCTTAATGAAATCCTGTTTTCTCAACTTCTGCTGTTTTCAAAAGCTCCATGCGTCTCACGATTCCAGCCAAAAAAAGGGATTTCCACCCTAATTCTCCTATTGCGCGGGCAGTGCAACAGCAACCGAAGCCCAGGAGTCAGGTTTTTATCCTAATGGACCTCCTGCATCTCAGGCCAATGGTTTTCAACAAAATTTTAAATCTTTACAGCCCTTACGAATCCAACAACAGGCAAAATGCCATCATCACTGTGAACCAAGTAAAACAAAAGTTGGACATCAACCTGTAGAATTCTTTCTCACGCTGTCCACGTTGACGTCGTTCTTGTTGCATCTTAGCTTGTCGTTTCCTGTTTGCAGCTCTGCGTTTCTTCGTCATGGTCCGCTTGATCCTGGGCAGTATTGCATGCGTATTGCCTCAAATTATGAATGAAAGTGTGAAGAACCAAAAAACAACATGTTTGTAATTGGTGTCACAAATGCGACCTCTGGCATTGTGAACATTGTGCTGGACAGTGGCTGCTCGATGACCCAATAGAAGTTCCGGACACCATGCACTGCCCGGCACAGCGCGGCCTCGTCTGAGAGGTGTTGCCAAAAAAATTTTGTAGTCTACAAAATGAACGACACTTGACAGCGCCAAACAAACGAAATCTTTTTCAGTTTTGCCGGACCGGCCAGGGCGCAAAGTTTCTTACAATGGCATTTGCAGTCCTCACAGAAGCTAGCCGAAGGTTCCCATAGATGCCGTGCTTTTCGGAATGGCGCTTGTGTGTCCCGGCAGACATGAACACAAACAAAGAACATGGAGGACAGATAAGATCCATATATGTATGTAACCTAAAAATGTGCATATTTGGACAAATCTGAGGATCCTCGAAAAACGTTCCCTCGACCCGGCTGACAAAGATCGAAAATAGACAGACGTGCATATTTTGTCACGAGGACTTGGCCTTAAGGTTTCTAACCAGCGTTCCCGAAAGATAGTTGCCGGAGATTTTGAAAATTGCAGTTGCTGATCCGTGGGGTCTGCCCCAGGTTTTCATCCAGCTGCATTTTGATGTTGGCCCTAGGTTTATCCCATTTCTTGGCTGAAAACTCGTGTACCCAGTCTGAATCGTATCTCGACCGGGGGATTCCTAGTCCTAGTCGTAGTCGCAGACAAGCAGTCTAAAATTTGGTGAGTTCAGTGGAGTTCGGTCCTGTCCATTCATCCAAGTGACTCAGGGCGGTCTGGACGGGATTGAAGGCACCAGTGGCAAGTCTTCCATGTCCTCAGAGCGCAAGCTATCAACGAAGGAGGGATGGGTGACATTCACTCTGCGTGTCCGGTCTGTTCGCAAGCCTTGACGCTGGCGCCATCCAGGTCAGAGCCATTCCGGTATGCTCCCAGTCCGGAATTGGTCCACACCGCTTGTTGTCGTCGCAACAATACGACGTGCGCATGTCTTCCGAAAGCAAAGCGGCGCAAAAATGTCCTTTCGTCGATGCTAAGGTGTGCGATACAAGCTACGGCTCGACGGGCCGACCAAACCATGTCCAGGGACGCGCCTTCGAAGGAGGGAACCCAAACTCTACGTCAAAGTCACGGTGAGCAAAGTGGAGTAGCAGGCGTGTCGTGTCAAGAAATCGGTCAATGTAGACACATTTTGGCCCGTGTGCTGATTCAGCAGCAGCTTTCATGTTCTAACCGCGGTTCATGGTTGCCTGAGCTCATTCAGATCCAAGCTTTTTTGATCCAGTTGAGTCCGGTTCATATAGACATGCGTCAGCGCTCGGCTGCAATGCATGACCTTTGTCATACACCTTAACTCTAGCAGAAGTACTTCCCAATGGAAGTCCCCTGGCCCTAACTCAGACCAGGCTGACCAGGCTGCCAGACGCCCAGGCCCAGGCTTCCTACAATGAGGTGTCACGCAGGCACGGTGACGTGGTTCATGTTGTGAGGCTGATATGTTGGCGTGGTGTCGCGCCGACAAGCTGTCAGGCTGTCATGCTGACATATTGCCATAGTGGCACGGGTTAGACTAACATGCTAACACGTTGTCACGTTGACATGCAGGAAATCAGCTACGCTGTCGTGCTAACGTGCTGACTCGGGCGTTTGCTTGTTACAGAGTTGTCATGCTTGCGCATTTGTGGGCACGTGTGCTAACACTGGCGTATTGCTGACGCGTGGCATATTAAAGTTTGCGTATATTGAAAGCAGCAGGGTCTGACAAACACCCACCGTGCTAAATGTTGCCACTGCTTGATCAGCGCATTCATGCCCGGCTGTTGGGGACTTGGGTTATTTTCACTGTGTATGCTACTTGAGTCACGTAAGTTCCAGTGGCCAACTTGCCCAGAAGTGGTATGTCTGAGGCTTTCAGGGCAACAAGGAAACCCAACCCTTGGAGTCACAGCGTGGTGTTTACTTATTGCGCCTGAATGGGCGACCTGACTGTGTCCCAACCATGGTTGTATGTGACTGTGACATCCTTCTAGTATCACTATTGAGAGATGACTCGACTCAGGTGAGTTGATGAAATGGTGTCCCCAGAGCGGCGCGCCAGCAAATCCATGCACAGGAACTAACCACACATCCAGGTACGCCCTGGCCGACGTCTTTAGCGCACAAGACGCAGAATGTTTTGGAAGACACGATAAGGTCAGTTAAGAAGACCAAAGACAATAGTGCAGCCAGGGCAAGAAAAAATATTGCCGAAGATCGATAGAAACCGCTACTGATTTCTTGGGGCCCTAGAGCCGTTTAGTTCTCCTGTGTAAGCCACAAAACCTACATTTATCAAATTGTGTTTGCTTTGCTTACAACGGGAAGTGCTGCAAACACCAAGGCCAAAACCGACACCGAAGCAGACCAACCCAAACCAACGAAGCCAAACCCCACTTGCTAAGAGTCACGCCGCTCGCCCCAGCCCTCTCCAGCCTTCACCAACCAAGCTTGCAAAACCAAAGTAGAACCAAACCAAAACCCGGGATAGTGCTGGAACATGTTGTTTCTCACATGGAGTCTGGTTTATTGGGGGTTTTGAACACGTGCAGATTCTTGGAGGTACCGGTGACCCTTGGGAAAAAACCCTTCGGGACTGTGCCACTTTCATCCGCTTTCCACATCTCGGGGCCTTGAGATTGATGTAAGGTGTGATCAGCGTCGTGAATACATTGATACTCATTGCCAGCGTGGGGGGCAAGGCAAATGTCAAATTAGCTTCAAGTGGACTCTCAACTATCTTATGCATCAATTCGGGAGATTCGGGAGAGCTTGAATGGAAGGAGGCCCCATTTCGCTGGTTGCCGGGCCCTGATGTCATTTTTTGATTTGCTGGGAGGCTTCGGTGGTTTGAGGCATGTTGAATCTGCCCAAGGATACAGTCAGTGATCCATGCGCTAATATTGCCAGTCACTCGCCCTGGATTGTCATGCATTGGCTGGAGATTCAAGTTGATTTAGCCAATCAGCCGTTTCATGAACAAGCGGCACAAGAAATCTGACAGACATTGAGGAGAGAGAAGCACATGGAGGGTTTAGCTTGATTCTTTTGATATCAACCCCGCGGCAGACATTGGGCTTGTTGATATTCTACTGCCTTTGCCTTAGTGCCCATGCTTCCAACTCCAACCTTCCATATTTTGCGGTCCTGAACTTTCTCAGGTGGGTATCGGGGGGTTGCAGAGCCTGATGCGAAACTTGTGTCGCGCTTCAAGGCCGCTTCAATGACTGCTGACACCTTCTTGACCTAGTAGAGTCTTAGAGGGGTTTGCAAGCGTTGCACTGCATGTGCATCTGTGGTTTGCAGGTTGGCCAGCCTGCTTTGGTGCGGAGCCGAACACGTGGTATAAGGTTGGCCAGTATAAAGAGAGTCAATGTGCATTTTCTTATATTTTGTTTGCTATCTGGACCTGACGCTTCCAAGGCAGTGATTTACTTTCTTTTCGGCATCTTGCCGCTCGGTCCTGTCAATGGCCAGCGCCTTAGCCAGCAGATTCGGAAGAGAAGAGAAGCTTCAAGAAAGTTTTGGCGGATTCCTTTCCTCACGATTCAGAGAGAGAGAGAGAGACCTCACCACTTGCACGGGAAGCATAAAATGATATTTCAAGGCCATCCTCCAATTCTGGAGAATGGCTGGCCAGGCAAACAAAGCGCAAAGAAGGACATAGTGGGACCTGCTGTACAACCAAGAAACAATCACATGGCTGGGTCGGGGGAACAGGGGTCCCCCAAAGCGGGTCAGGGCCCGCCAAGTGCGAATCAGCACGCAAGCCTGAAGCAAAGTGCTTCCATAGGCGGCCCCAGCCGCACAGCTGATATGATCGAGACGATTTGGTGGGTTGTATTGGAATTTTGCTCTGGTGGGTTCGTCATGTGTCTTGGCCCATGGAGTTGAAGCAAAACACAGCAGTTTGTAGCGTTTTTGTTACCTGGCCAAAACCTGTACCGTGCTAGTGCTAGTGTAAAACTTTGGTCAGCCTGTCATTACAGAGTTTTGTCTTTGTCGACCTGTCCATCCTTCGCTCCTTTGGCCCGGCCGAGGCTTGGCGAAGCTTGGCTCCACGGGCGGCTCTGTTTACTGGCTGGTTCGCCCGCCACGAAAACAAAAGTCAGAAAACCCTCAAAAAGAAAACAACATCCCCTTTGCCATGATATGTTGTCCTCTTTGCATTTATAATTATGCTTGGGCCGCAGATGGTGATTTTGCTTGAATCCGGACTTTGGCTTGGCAATTGCTGCCTTGCAGTTTGGAACACCGTGCCGTTCTTAGGTTTCTCTTTTGTTTCAGTCTTTGGGGCTTGCTGTAATGGGCGTTCGTTGCAAGCACGCATTGCACTACAATTGGCCTTCCTGGCATCCTTGTGATGTGCAAGGTTCGAATAACGCGAGTTGATTCTCCAGCCCAGGTGGGATGGACGGTCAATTGGTATTTCGTCCTTTTAGACTCTTGGTTTTGGTGAAAATGGGTTCTTGGATCGAGGCAAATCGCTTCTGATGAGTGACCTTCGTGAACAATTCATATATATATATATATATCCAATTTCCAATTCTATGGTTCATTCAGTGGCACTGCGCGGGAAAATGTACAGAGCTGTGCCGGACAGTTGAGCACAATTGGTCTCACCCCCAACATCAGCTGAAAAAAGCTGCCTCAAATTGTTGCTTCCTCAGCGAAAAGCAGTGCCGACACTGATGCAACAATTGCTGCTGAAATAATGTGCACACATTCAACTCCGTGATAGTGCGCTCAAGCTGAGATGGTAGACAGTCGAATGATTGTGGGCAACTGTAGGCAAGAGAGAACATTCATGCTTGAAAATTAGCTCCGACCAGCACGGGTCAGATAAGATGCCTGTAGCAAATCGTAGTAATGTCACAATGTATATATACACTGTATATCAATATATATATATATATGATACATATATATATACACACATTATACACACATATATTATATGTCAGATGGTATGTATACTAAGACATGTCAGTACGCCTGTCAGACAACATGCCCCTATTTATGTCAGAAAACATGTCAGAAAAGCAGCAGAGGAGGCAAAATACATGATATCTCAGCATTTTGGTGCAACATTTCTGCTAGGTCATTTAATGACTTTATTTTTCCAAACTTGTGCACATTGTGTTGCGCTTCTGGCATTGGTTGGCACACAGCTTTGGATTTGAGGGTGGTGATCTAGCTAAATCGAATCTAGCTACAGTTTCACACAAGAAGCACAAGCACTCACCACATTTTTGACTTGGGTGGGTGAGTTTGCCATGCAATGGGCTTGAGATTCTCGGAGTGCTCCGCTAATTCTCAACATGTGAAGGATTGCCTCTAAGCTGCAAACACACACACACATTGAGATAAACAAGGTTGGATTTTGAGGCATTCAATAACCAGCAAAACGAGGATTTGATCTCGCTTGCTTTTGACCACCTGGAGTCACTTGCCAGGTCCTACTGTAGGTTTTTCTGCTTGAATTTGAGGTTGCCACTTGGAGGGCGAGACGCCCATTGAGATCAGGCAGGGGACTTACTTGAATCGATGGCAATATGTATGGAACAGTGTTGCATCTTGGTTTTCTTGCACAGGCAAAGATATGTGGAAGTTTTCGGGAGAGTTGGGTGTAGAGTCTAGGATATTATTGCTCAACATTTTGTTTGTTGAGTTCTTGAGAGCATCAAACCTTTGGCCTCACATGTGAACGCAAACATAATATTTCACACAGTGAGTTGAGAGTTGATGTAAGCGTCCGGAACTTGCTTGTTGCGTCACACTCAGACCAGAAAAGTTGCTGAATTTTAAGCTGCTTATCCCACTTGTGCCAAGATTCCCCAGCCACGTCGAGCCTAATCTTCAACCTATAGTAACTCAGTATAATTACACCTGCTTTTACAGTGGATTTATCTAATAAATGCTTCTGTGGTCAAGCTAAAATCATGGATCCTGAAGGCAGAACCCTGTGGAAGGTTCACCCTAGTTACTCTAGTTTGGCATAGTGTTTCGCCTATGTTATGCTGATGCAGTTGGTGCATGCCAACAAAGTCGGCGAAACTGCGTGGTACATGATAGAAACGCCAACTTCTAGAATTAGACATGTGCTACAGAAGGTACCAGGTCTGTAGAGACTTGGTAGGACTTGATCCACCTGGCAGGATCGCTTTCTCCCAGCAGAGACCAGCTGCATACCCAAGCCACGAGAGCCACCAAGGTGGAGATCGTTGATCATGTGCATGAAGCAAATATGGAGTAGCAGACAGGAAGATCATGTTCAAAGCATGAGATTCCAGAAACGATGTTGTGAAGGCTGCCTTGCATGATGGAGTGTGAGAGCCCAGGCACAGCGCCCAGAGCACTTCGTTTTCCGACGCATGCTGCGAGTGCTGCAAGAGTCCCAGGCGCTGCCCAGACTTGGCTTCTGTCAAACATATCGCACATAATACGTTAATCATCGTTTGGTGCTACAAGCTGCTTAAAGGCTGTTATATGATTCATGTTAAACATTGATTCGTGGATAGGGGTGAGGGTAAGACTTTGGCACCTGTGGACTCAAGCCTGAGAGCCTTGCAGGCAAACCAAACCGAGCACGAACAAGCAGCAAACCCTGTGCAGATGAGCCGCGTGGAGTGAGGAAGGGCTTGCAGTTATGGCTTGAAGATGTGACGTGATCCAGTCAGGAATGTTTTCCTGGTTCCCGAATTGGATGCATGCAGGCTATCACTCAATTTGCACACAAAGCTCAAACGGACAATGTCGGCAGCCTCTGTTATCTTTCCCCACTTCATGGATGGCATAGGGTGAAGATTTTGCTGAGAGATTCCAGACTGCCTCCAATCTGCCAACGGCTGACTGCCTGCATTGCGCAGGTATTGCTATTGCAGCCAGTACAAAACTTCAATATATGCCCTCGTGAAAATGCAATAAATACCCGCGGCCACAAAGGAGGTTCAAGCGTTCGCCAACCATTTGCCATTTGCCCTTACGGTGGAGCTGGAGTCCCTGGCCTATCAGATCCTTCGAAGATTTCCAACCCGTTGAGCCTTGTCTGTGTGGCCCTTCCTTTCAGGAGCTCCTGACTCAAGATCCCCGATCTTCTGGCTTGTTCCGGGCTGAAGCAAGGGCCCGGCGCGGGCCCCTGACCAGTCATTGCAGAGAGTGAGCAAGCGTGGGGCTGCTCGGGCCACCACCACCGTTCCATCAGTTTGCGAGCCACGTCCAACGGCCACATCAGTTCTCGGCCCGGCCCTATCCGATCCGAGGTGGGTAGATCTATACCTGCCTCATGTGAGAGATTTAGGCACAGTGCAAGAAGCCAAGAAGGCAAAGACGACAAGGAAAAGGAAAGGGCAGCGCGGGCGGGGAGGATGGCGCGCCGAGTGCGTGGGAGAAGAGACACCGCGCTACTGTACCCCCACAACCATACCCAGTACATCCACCTGCTGTGTCACCCATGATGGTCTACCCATCCCTGCCACAGCCGACGCTCCCACCTTATGGTGCTCACCCAACAGCACACTCACCTGCGGCTCCTCCGCATCCAGTGGCACATCCACACCTCAGACTGACACTTCACCACATCAGGCTTGGCCTGCGGCACCACAGAATCCATTGCCACCACCTCCAGCAAACATTCACGGCTCGCCCGACCATCTCCTTCATCCGGATCTTCTTCAACGACGCAGACCAGTCCTCCACACAGTGCCTGTGTCCTCACCAGCATTTGTGGTCCCACCACCTTCTACCCTCCACGCACCTCCCCCAACAAGGGCCTCACCAGCCACCACTTCTTCTCCTACAATCAACGTGGCCGTTCCTCGACCTCATCCACCACGACCTTTCCGCAAACCCCAGCCACCTCAACAGCTGCCCAACCCCCGCAATGGGATGTGGACCCAGTGGAACCTCTGAAGTATCCACCCCAAGCCTAACGCAGGCCGACCAAGACAGTGTTGCCGACAAAGACCCGTTCCAACAACTCCTTCACTATCTCCATCACCATTTATCAGCTCCAAGCAACGACCCCATGATCACCCATGTGGCCAAAGTCCTCCAAGGTGCCGGCCTCCAAGCGCAAGACATTGAGGAAGTGCAGCAGTGGACCTTCAGCGATTGGAAGGATTCCTTCCAAGACTGTGCCACCACAGAATTCTTCACAGTGTTTTTGTTTGTTTGTCCCCAACCTCCAAACACGTGCCCGCGTCACTCACGTCCCACCACGAAGACGTGCAACGGACAAGCGACACGGCACCGCGCGCATCTTCGCTGCACATGCAACTGAATTCTCCAAAGCGGTCGTTTTCGCCCTAGCGCATTACATAGCCACACGCGCGCCGGTTTATGGTGTGATCGACTATGACAAATGGAACACCGCGCAGGTGCTTGCAAAGACCAATTTCCTGAGTAAGAACAAGGCTGCGGTCTTCCTCCATTGTATAGCGCGGGGCGCCGGCCAGAAGTTCAACACTGGGGGCAGGAACGGACTTGGTCAAACACGACCGAGGGAAATGCTATATTGTTCGTGGTATCGCCTGCCAACGCTCAGCGACACCTCCGCAATCCTTCCTTTGAGAACCAGCGAAGCAACGGACCCATTTTGTCCTTGCCGATCAATTACACTATTTCGGCCCCCATGGACCTCAGAAGAAAGATCTTCAGTAGGACATGATCCATGAACTCCTTTCCTAGGATTGACCCGCATACATGTGATTCTCCCCTGCAGGCTTGCGTTTTCTCCGTACCGATGGTTTTCGCGATTTTTGAAAGTTCTGACCATTCACATCATCCTTTTTACACGAGGACGTCGGCTTTCCCTTCACGCTTGAACATCAAGTGTTTTCCCGTTTCCCAAACAGCTCACTGGTGGGGTTCTATCTTAGGAAAAAAGGAGCTGGCCACACTCACTGGCCG